CACTCTCATAGTCTAGAATCAGTTTTGTTTGGCTTTGTTTGCTTTTGAAGATGAAGATCAGTAGGAATGGATTTAAAATTCTGCACCTTAACCTGAAACTCAAAACAAGAATTTGTTTTCTCTGAAGTCTGTGGGCGAGATGTGGCTCAGTGTGTGAGGAAAATGACTTAGGATTTAGGTGGACTCTGTGTGAGCTGGAGCCAGTGGGGGGCAGTGCTGAGAACTAACCGGCCTCTGCTGCTGGTGGCATTCATGGAAGCGCCCTTTGCTCTGAGCAGGGCACGCTGCCAGCACGGTGCTGCCTCCTGGGAGGACACCGGAGAAATGCTGACACTCAGAGGGTCACTAAGATACTCCCAGACACTGGAGGAGCCACTCCATTTGAGGAACATCTCAAAGAATGGAACATTGAGTGGTTTCAGAATCTTAGGAGCCCAGAAATGGTGTTGTTTATATCCATTATCCCATCACCTAACCGCGGGCCTTGCACACTTAATCAGTGTATATGGTAGGAAGTGTTGGAAAGGGGTTCGACTCACTCAACATGCGGAACTGGAACCAGACGTGGAAGGCCTAGACCATGGATTTCAGCACGATGACAGGACGGTCTAGGAATTACTAGTAGAATGTTCTAGCAATGGTATAGCTTCCTGGGAGAATGAGCTCACTGGCAGGATGGGAGCCACCCAGAGAGTAGTTTCACTGAAGACTGATACAGGGGGGATTTGTGGGTGTCAGGTGGAGAGGGTCTAAAGGCCGGCTATACTCAGATAGTGTGATTACAGGTGCTTTTATGTGATTGCAAAGCACCTATATGTGGATAAAACTTCCCAGAGCAAGGATCTTCTCTTTGCTCACTAGGCAGCATCTTCAGTGCTTAGGCATTCCATGAAAATTCAGACTCCAGGCCGATGAAACATGGCTTTGCTCCAATTCTTCCTGGAATTGAAGAAATTATTAGCTTCCTAAGGTTGGAGCTCTTTTTTTTTTTTTTTTTAATATATTTTATTGATTTTTTTTTTTTACAGAGAGGGATAGAGAGTTAGAAACATCAATGAGAGAGAAACATCGATCAGCTGACTCTTGCACACCCCCTACTGGGGATGTGCCCCCAACTAAGGTACATGCCCTTGACCGGAATCGAACCTGGGACCTTTCAGTCCACAGGTGACGCTCTATCTACTGAGCCAAACTGGTTTTGGCAAGGTTGGAGCTCTTATCCATAGATCGAGGAAAGGTTTATAACTAGAATCCTTTCACTGTCTTGATAACACACTTAAAGTAAGCCAGCGTTTGGGGAGAACTGGGAAATGCAGTGAGAACATGTGTATCATTTTTGAGACATGCGAGGTATACGTTCATTAAGATCTAAAATTTAAATCCAAAATAGCATGAATGAAATACTGCATGTTCACATGCCGAAGAATGCTCTGTCACAAAGAGAATAGTATTAATTCGCTTTCATTGATTTTCTTTTTTCTTTGGGCATAAACTCCAGGTACACCAAGTCACATCGCCTGCTTGTTGAACAGGGTATACCAAGAGCTAAACTTAAAGAAATTGTGGCAGAATCGGACGTCATGCTCAAGTAAGTTTCTTGGTGGTTAATTGTCTACAGTTCGGACCTGTTACATGCCATATTCAAAGTGTGTATTTGTATTAAAATAATCTAAAAGAATATCCCATATAAAAACATATCCAGAACATGCCGCCTATCACATACTAAAAGTGTCGCGATAAGGAGTTGAGAATGACACGTCAGGTCATGGTGCAGGGAATGAAAGCCTGTGAGCTTGAAGCACTAATTTACATTTTCTTTCTCCAAATTTTAAATCTCAAGACTTACGTACGCCGAAACCAGTTTGGCTCAATGGATAGAGCATCGGCTTGGGGACTGAAAGGTCCCAGGTTCGATTCCGAACAAGGGCATGTATCTTGGTTGTGGGCATATCCCCGGTAGGGGGTATGCAAGAGGTAGCTGATTGATGACTCTCTCATCGATGTTTCTATCTCTCTCCCTTCTTCTCTGTACAAAATCAATAAAAAAATATATTAAAAAAAAAAAGAACAGAAACCATGCAGGCCAGAAGGGAATGGCAAGAAATATTCAAGGTGATGAATAGTAAGAACCTACAGCCAAAGATAATCTATCCAGCAAAGCTATCACTCAGAATCGAAGGTCAGATAAAGAGCTTCACTAATAAAAAAAAGCTAAAGGAGTTCATCACCACCAAACCAGAATTATATGAATTGCTGAAGGGGGTTCTTTCAGAAGAGAAAGTAAACAAAGATAAAAATTATGAACAAGAAATACGTAACTATCAACAAGTGAGTCTAAAAACCAAGGAAATTAAAAAAAAAATCTGATGAACAATAGTAACTGTTGAATATAATAGAATCAGAGGTATGGAAGGGGAGTGAACTGACGATTCTTGGGGAAAAGGGAAGAGGGGGGCGTGGGAAGAGACTGAACATAAACTGTGCACCTATGGATGAGGACAATGGGGAGTGGGGAAAGGGCAGAGGGTGGGTTGGGAACCTGGTGGAGGAGAGCATGGTGTGGGGGGGGGGGGGGGGGGGAAGGAACATTTGTAATAATATGAACAATAAAAACTTATTTTAAAAAAAAAGACTTACAAAGTTATGAAAACAAGACCATTTTGAAGTTGTTGCTTTTTTTTAAGCAAAAATACTTTTCAAAGATATGAAATATAAAAAAGAAAGTTTACATAGTCATATTGAAAAGTGTTTTTGCTAAGTACCGTTTTTATGATGTACCCTCTTTTAAAATTGACATAAGTCTACTTTCTGAATTCTCCAAGTCCCTTGAAAACAATCTCTAAGAAAGGTGCATATGTTTTAGCAAATAATACAAATATTTCTAATAGGTGAATTATTGGATATTAACATGTTAAAGCTTATTTTCAGTTGTTTACTACCTCTTAATTCTTCAACTCACTAGGCAAATATGATGCTTTTTCTTTTTCCCTTTCCTTTTTTTAAATTTTTTTAATGATGCTACATTAAAGGTGATTTATTTCTGAAGAAAGCATTCAATTGACAGAGTGTGAGGACTGCTGGTATTTTATTCCTTTGCTGGGCAGCTTATCTTAGAGCCAGGAGTGTGGAAAGGGAAGAGGAGATTTTAAGACGAAAACATTACCTGTAGCTGCCACAGCTGAGGCAGGAGAGAGGCCAGGGGTACCGGGAATCCGGCCCGGGCCCTGCCACTCCGAGTTCCCAGCAGAGAGCAGGAGATGAGCAGAATGACAGCAGCAGGTCTTGCAGCCTCAGCCCAAATGGGGCTTTCAAGCTAAGCTTTCATGATGTGCTGTCCACTAGTATCAATTCCCAGCTGTAGGCTTCTCCATAGCCGGTGCAAGTCTAACATCATCTCATTTTTACTACGAGAATTTACCAGAAGGCGGGTTAAAAGTTAACTGTTGTCTGGAAAACCTGTGCTGGTCTCAGACATCAGGAACAGTCCCCCTTGGCTTTGTTTTGAAGTGAGAACTCAGTGCATCATAGAAACACATGGCTTTTTAAACATCTCGGTGAAAAAGAGCTATGCCTTCGCTCCTAACGGTCATACTATACCTCGCCCTGCAGGGAAGGCTATGAGAATTTCTTCGATAAGCTCCAACAACACAGCATCCCCGTGTTCATCTTCTCGGCCGGCATCGGAGACGTCCTGGAGGAGGTGATCCGTCAGGCTGGGGTTTACTATTCCAACGTCACAGTGGTGTCCAACTTCATGGATTTTGATGACAATGTAAGAATATCAGGTCATTCATTCCCTGTCATTACTTTGAAAATGTGAAAATATTCTAATCATGTAGAAGCATTTGTTATTTATTATTTCATGTGTGCTCATTAAATTAGGCCAAGTTCATAGGCCCAGGACGGGCCTCATCATCTCTCGCAGTGTTGTATCCATACCCATGTTTCAAACATAATAACTCTGCTTAAACTTCTGTTTCCTGAGCTGTAGACTAACCTTACATTAGATATGTTACTAATTTTTAAAATATATATATATTTTTTATTGATTTCTTTACAGAGAGGAAGGGAGAGGGATAGAGAGTTAGAAACACTGATGAAAGAGAAACATCAATCAGCTGCCTCCTGCACACTCCCTACTGGGGATGTACCTGCAACCAAGATATATGCCCTTGACCAGAATCGAACCTGGGACCCTTCAGTCTGCAGGCCGATGCTCTATCCACTGAGCCAAATCGGTTAGGGCAGTGGTCCGCAAACTACGGCTCGAGAGCCACATGCAGCTCTTTGGTCCCTTGAGTGTGGCTCTTCCACAAAATACCACTGCCCAGGCAAGTCTATTTTGAAGAAGTGGCATTAGAAGTAGTTTAAGTTTTAAAACTGTGGCTCTCAAAAGAAATTTCAGCCGAAACCGGTTTGGCTCCGTGGATACAGCGTCAGCCTGAGGACTGAAAGATCTCAGGTTCAATTCCGGTCAAGGGCATGTACCTTGATTGTGGGTACATCCCCAGTAGGGGGTGTGCAAGAGGCAGCTAATCAATGATTCTCTCTCATCAATGTTTCTAACTCTATCCCTCTCTCTTCTGCTCTGTGAAAAATCAATAAATATATATATATATTTTTTAAATTTTCAATCGTTGTACTGTTGATATTTGGCTCTGTTGACTGAGTTTGCCGACCACTGAGTTAGGGCAATTTTACTAATTTTAATTCAACAACTCTAAAGAATTAACATTCATGGATGGGAAAAAAGAAGTGGCTTAAAACTAATGTAACTGGAACTAGTTCTTCTAGTCAAGACAATATAACATACATAAAATGGCACCCTTTGGTTAGGAACCAAATGCAAAGTAAAAATTAGGCTTTCAACTCATGTTTAACATTTAAAGCATCTCTAGAGAGTCACTTCTCAGTGTCCTTCTTATCTATCTGAATGTGAAACTACGACAAGTAAAATTTGTAAAGCCTGTTATTTCAAAGGATTTATGCCTTTTGAACAGGGAGTGCTCAAAGGATTTAAAGGAGATCTGATTCATGTATTTAACAAACACGATGGTGCCTTGAAGAACACAGAGTATTTCAGTCAACTGAAAGACAACAGCAACATCATTCTGCTGGGAGACTCCCAAGGAGACTTAAGAATGGCAGATGGAGTAGCTAATGTGGAATACATTCTGAAAATTGGATATCTAAATGATAAGGTAAGGATATAAATCTAATTTCCTTTTAAGAAAACACTAGGATTGTTGGGGCCAGTTTGGCTCAGTGGATGGTGCTTTGGCCTGCGGACTGAAAGGTCCCAAGTTCAATTCCGGTCAAGGGCATGTGCCTTGGTTGCGGGCACATCCCCAAGGAGGGTGTGCAAGAGGCAGCTGATCGATGATTCTCTCTCATTGATGTTTCTCTCTATCCCTCTATTTTCCTCTCTTTAAAAAAAATCAATAAAGTATATTTAAAAAAGAAAACACTAGGGTTGTCCTGGCTAGTGTGGCTCAGCTGGTTGGGTGTCATCCCTTGCACTGGAAGGCTGCTGGTTCGATTCCCAGTCAAGGGCACATGCCCAGGTTGTGGACTCAATCCTCAATAGGGAGAGTGCAGGAGGCAGCTGACCAATGTTTTGGTCTCACATCGATGTTTCTCGCTCCCTCCCTTTCTAAATATAAATCAATAAAAATGTTTTAAGAAGGAAAAACTAGGGTGAAACTTGGTAGGTAATTGCTATCCCAGGTTCCTGAGAAAGCCGTTCTTTTGGAGCCGACCTGGTTGTTCTTTACCCCTTTCCTTTGGTGCTGAGTAAAGGAGTTGGTGTCCACTGTAGTGCTGGGAAAGAAGGGTGTACATTATAAAAGGCCTCTCTGGCCTCTCTTCCTTTGATGTCAATAGCACTCCCCGTCCAGGAGCATCAAAACTTTAGCCATGGCCAAATGTTTCTTGGGCACCTTATCCCCATTTGAGAACCACTGGAATAGAGAGGATTCATTCGGGGAGTGGAACAAGTTCTGTCAATGAGCCTTAAGAATTGTTTTTAATTGATTCTAAAGAGAGAGGAAGGGAGAGAGAGAAACATCTACAGCATTCTGCTGCCTCCTGCACGTGCCTTCGCCCCCCCCCCCCCCAGCCCTGAATTGAACCTGTGACCTCTTGGTGCACGGACTGACACTCAACCACTGAGCCACAACAAACAGGCAAACCTTTAGAAATTGAATATTTCCTAAAAATAAATAAATAAAGTGAAAAATTAAGAAGTTAAGTAAAAAAAAACATTTTAAAAAGAACTTGAATATTTGAAAAGTACTGCTTCATTTCCAATGTTTTATGAAAGTTAATTTAGTTTTTTATTAAATTCACTTTCATGAAACATTTTTTTTTTCTTCTTAACAGATTTAACATAACAATGTGGTTCATACTGAAATTCTTGGCTTCTCCCTGAACATTAATCTTTATGGTTTTCTTGTTGTTGATCAGGTGGATGAGCTTTTAGACAAGTACATGGACTCTTATGATATTGTTCTAGTCAAAGAGGAATCCTTGGAGGTAGCCAACTCAATCTTACAGAAGATCCTGTATAAATGAGCCTTCTTCAAGGAGACGCCTGTCCTGTGGTGCAGCGGATGCAAGAACCACTCATGTGTTCGGCGTGTGAAAGACTTTTATTTATAACATATCCTTGCTCAGACATGCTGAATCCAAAGGCCAGAAGCTCCTTGTTTTCTGTCTCTCTCAACACACTCCTCACCATATTTTTTTTTTAATTAAAAAAAAATCTTAAAGTCAAAATTTGAAAACACTGCCTACATTTCCAGAGTGAATTTTGTAGTTTACTGTTAAGACGTTTTTGAGGAGTCTTTTTACATGTGTGTGATTTTAAGTATTGACATTTTTGTAATTTGAATGAATTATGCTGATGGTATCACCATCTCCTAAAATTGTGTTCCTTGTTTTTTTGGGGAAATTGAAACTTCCAAGAACATATCAGCACACGGTGTTGGAAAAACTTGGTATCCATATGTCACTAATCATTATAAAATGTTCTATATTGATGCACTGATAATAAACATGAAATGAAAAGTCTTTTTAATTCTGTTGGCAAGACTATCATTCATTCATTCAACAAGTACTTATTAAGCACCTGCCGGGTTTATCTTGTATGTGTTTGATAGCCTTGCAGTCAGGCCACTTCCTTGCCAAAATGAATTTTTTTTTTTTCTTTCTTCTGTCTTAAATGATCATTTTGAAAAGCTGGATAGCCCTGGCCAGTGTGGTTCAGCTGGTTGCCACACTCAGGTCGCTGGTTCAATTCCTGGGCAGGGCACATGTCCCGATGATGGGCTTGATCCCCAGTCAGGGGAGTGCAGGAGACAGCCGATGGATGGTTCTCTCTCATCAATGTTTCTCTCCCTTCCCCTTTCGCTCTCTCTAAAATCAATAAAAACACATTTTTTTAAAAAGAGAAAAGAAAAGCTATCTAAATTGCTATAAGTAATCAGAGATCAAATGCACTAGGTCTTAACAAAATAGTGCAGACTGCTTATGCTTGCCAAGTAGCCTCATGGTTGGTTGGTTCGTTTGGAGAAAAGGGGGAGAGAGAAACATCGATTTGTTGTTCCACTTCTTGATGCATTCACTGGTTGATTCTTGTGCCCTGGCCGGGGACAGCACCAACCAGCTGGGCTCCCCAACCAGGGTGCCTCGTGACGTTTCGAGCACACAGGTCACGTGCATGCTTAGATGTCAGATTCTCTAAGGCACTCTGACCCCCTCTAGCATCGATGACCTAGCTCATCTTTCAGGCACAAAGTTCAACGCCTGTGTCACAAGCCAGGTGGTCCGAAGGCGGAGACTGGCCATCTGTCCTCTCAGGAAGAGGTCCAGGCTGCCTCAAGAGGCCACACAGAAGCCGACTGTAAAATGTGATGAAGGAAAATGCTGCATGTGGCGCCTCCACCCTGTTTGGGCCTTACTTAGTACTCACGGCCTCGGCGGGCAGAGCCGTCCCCCACAATCTAACGTGAGCAAGTGTTGCTACAGCTTCACAGAGTGAGGCCAGCCAGGCACACGGAGCCCCTGAGGTTGCTTCTGCAAAAAGGAAGCCACGTTTGATTTTTAAAAACATGCATGTATTTCCCCCTATACATGTGCCCATTATTCTCCATTTGCTCCTTTCTCTGCATCCAGAGGCTGATTGCTAAGACCCCTACCACACCCCCACCCTCAGATCCCTTTCCTCTGTTTCGGACTGGGTTCAGCGACAGAGCCAGCGGCAGGGTAGACATGCCCTCTCCTGCCTCAGCACCAGCCCCAGCTCCAGCGTGGCTCAGGCCCAGGGAGGAGCAGCCGCCTGCTGTTGCTGGCCACCAGCCGTCCTGGGTACCTGACATTCTTGGTGGGTCCCAGAGTCCTGTCCACACCTCTACAAACAGCCCTGTCATTATCCTCCCTGCACGAGTCCCTAGGAGGGCGATTCCTGGCAGGACCCCGAGCCCACACCCTCCAAACTCTCCCAAGTCGCACAGCGCGGCCCCGTGAGTTCTTATCCAGGGGGTTCTGACTACATGGTGCATTCCCACGGGATCCTCTCTGCCTTTCAAGAAAAGACCACAAAGCTTGGTGAGAATTCAACGTTTTATATACGAAAAGATGGGTTTTCCAACATTCAATTGGATGAGTGCACGGCATTCTCATGGCCTGCCTCAGAGCCACATCAGTACAAAACAGTTTAAATTAGTAACCGCCGTTTCAGAAGGAAAAGCGTGGGTCACGGGGCAGGGGGTGCCATCACCGGTGGGGAACAGGATGTAAGGCAGCAAGGTGTTCACTGGGCCGCCAGGGGCAGCGGCCTGGTTACGCAGAGTGAGGCCCCGGGAGGCCGAGGAGCAGCCTGTCCCCTGTTTGTGCTCATCGGCTGGGAAGACACAGCCACCTGGGCCCCAGGGAGATGCCCTGCAGCTCGGCCTGGCCGCGGGCCCCGCACGCATCTCTGATCAAAGGACTTGAGGCCGAGGGGCCACGGGGCAGAGTGACGGGCTGACAGGGAAGCAGGTGGCCTCGAGTGGCAGACAGTCAGGTTCTCTCCCCGTGGGCCTCCGTGCCTTTTGTTTGGTCCCCGTTTTCCACCTCCAAGCTACCCAGCCGATCGGAGGACCACGGGGCATGGGGCGACTACCTAGAAAAGCGTGTGTGCGTGCGTGCGTGTGTGTGTGTGTGTGTGTGTGTGTGGAGGAGGAGGTGGAGGCTGGAGCTGTGTGTGTGTGTGTGTGTATGTGTAGACGGAGGTGGAGGCTGTGTGTGTGTGTGTGTGTGTGTGTAGGAGGAGGTGGAAGCTGGATGTGGGGGTGTGTGTGTGTGTGTGTGTGTAGGAGGAGGTGGAAGCTGGAGGTGGGTGTGTGTGTGTGTGTGTGTGTGGAGACAGAGGTGGAGGCTGTGTGTGTGTGTGTGTGTGTGTGTGTGTGTAGGAGGAGGTGGAAGCTGGGTGTGTGTGTGGAGGCGGAGGTGGAGTTGGAGGCTGGGCCGACCAGAAGGTGCTGTACAGGCCGCTGGGAAGTCTCTGCCATGCCCTTTGTTTTTCCTGCCTGTCTGGACAACGCTTATAAAACACCAGCAAGTTAAAAAAAAAAAAAAATTGTCTTAATCCTCCTTACCAGATATCCTGGATTTTCTCCCATTCCCTGCAGGATGGCCACAGCTTCTCTACGACACTATTTCCCTCGATAACACACCAGCCGGAAGGCCCAGAACAATGGCTGGCAGCCTCCCACCCCGTGCGGAGGCCCCTGGCCGATCTAGTCTAATCCCCGGCGCTGGGCCCCGGTCCTGTGTGTGCCCGCCCAGCCTGTGTGGCCGCGGCCCTTGCTGACAGTTCACCTTCCGCCAGGGCCTGGCGCCCTCCGCGCTCGGCCGCCACGGCACACCGGGGCGGGTCAGGCTCACAGCTCGTCGTGCTTGGCCTCCTGGTCTTTGAGCTTGAACTCCTCGGCCGTGACCTTGCCGTCCGCGTTGCGGTCCTGGTTGGTGAACATGTTCTTCACAATCATCTCGGCATCGAAGCCGGGGGCGAGCTTCCCTCTGCCGGACGCCACCTGGGCGTGGATGTACTCCGAGAACTGGACAGGAAGAGAGGGGCAGGTCAGACACACGCCCAGGCCCACACGGATGGGCCCTGCATCTGAGCTCGCACACGGGAAATCCTCTGAGCCACTCAATCTGGTTTCCCCTCCGGATGCAGGTGAGAAACTGCCCACGAAGTGATCCCAGCAGCCCCTTGGTTCCAGGCGGCCAACCCCAGCGGCTGCTGGAGCTCCCCGTCCCCCCAACCAGCCCTTCTTTCCGCACAAAGACGGGCCCCGGACCACCCAGCCCCTGAGGATGCCCCCACCCTCATCATTCATTCACACAAGAACAATGTCTCGTCCGCTTCGTCCTAGAGCCGCATCAATGCCCAAACTAGGCTTCCTGCACCTGTAACTAGCATGTCCTGGTAGGAAAGACGCACAATTAAACATGAACATACAAAATAAGCTCCATAGTAAGGAAGACAGGGGAATGCTCTAGAAC